AAGTTTCCAAATGTTGTCCGACCTACTTCATTGACTCGATCTATTATGCTACGCGCTTCGTTTTTCCAGGCATTTCTGGTGAGTTTTTCCCGCCGTGAAAAAATATATGCCGGACGGGGGTCTGCAAATTTTTAAGCCTATCTTGTGGAGGCGAGTCTCTGCATCGATCGCGGAGAAACTTAGGATGCACAGATGAGGGACGGGAGACTGAAAATGGCATAAAGAGTCAAGGCATGCACACAGGATAAATGGCGAACGCGCGTCGCGGATGAAAAGTTTAACATGGCAGTTGTGAGGCGCTGCTGTCATATTATGCAGTCCCTCTCGGACGGTCGACTTAAAATATTCGTTCAACGCGAAGGGCACCATCATATAGATCATATTTCGCAATAAGGAACCACTATTTCTGGCTCATTTTAGAAACAACATATGGATTTTATTTTGCAAGAAGGAACCAAGAGCAATCCAATGTTGCTATGTTGATTCCTGCTACTCACATTCTTTGTAATTAAATCACTGAAATCACGCAAAAAATTAAATTTACAAAGTTAATTTTTGTCTTGAAATATAGTCCATTGGGAGTAAATATAAAACTTTTCTAGTTGATCTGTTTATATTTGAAAGGTAATTTATTAGAGCCTAACACAGCGGAGCAGTGTGCTCCCAGCGCGGAACGCGCACTGGCGCCTACGAACCTAACAGGGATACTTCACGCATTGCGCAATGCGTGAAGTATCCCCGTTAGGTTTGTAGGCGCCTATGGGCGTGTCACGCTGGTTTTCCGTCGCGACGCGGAGTTTCACGGCATGCGGCACCTCAAGCAACTATTCCACAAGGAGTTGTTGCACAGTATCTTCCTAAATTGAAGGCGATACTAAATTTTATCCAATTATGTACCTACCTTGTTTACTGGTCCATTGACTTTGCAAAATATTACTGTCCGTGAATATAGACTATAAAGCAGCCAGGGGGCAGGTCCTAGATACCTGTACTGCCGTGCTAAGGAAGAACGCCGTATGAACATTCGGGATTTGCCAAATTTCCTCCGATAAAATGTTTCTTTTTTAGGAAAATTGTGAATATTGTTCCGAGAAATTTACAAGAACTTTAGGGAAAATTGTGAGCAAAATTACCCAAAACATTGGAAGAAAAGTATTTACAATTTTCCCGAAAATGTTTGATTTACCAACAGAAATTTGAAAACGCCTGAAGGCTCATACGGCATTTTTTCTTAGCACGGCAGTATTCGTGCTCAGCGGATTTCTGCGTTGCACATGCATACTCGAAATACTGAAGGCGCCTCGACTTTTCCTGAGCGTCAATAGAAACTACGAAAGTTCAACACTCATTTATGAGTTTTTGAAAATTTACGATTTTTTTAACGTGTTCTGCGATTTAGTTTTGTATAGAAAACATATGCTGTAGTTTTCAATTAGTCGCCTTTTCTAGTTGTCCGTTCCAAAAGGGAGGGGAGAATGGGTCGGTTGCGCTAGTCACGGAATCGTGCTTTGATGCTTCACTCTTTCAGACTAGCTAAAAATAATAAGATATGTCCAAACAGCAACTCTCTACGTTGACTATTGACCGAGATATAATGTTTTGAAAAATTCGGTTCATGACGTCATCCCGCGGTAGTGGCTCACTTGGTAACTTCCGCCTTGCTTTCATCAGTCAGGTAAACACACATATGCACTGGTTACTCAACGAGTGACTCGGATGAAAGCAAGGTGGAAGAAACCAAGGGTGTCACTGCCGCGGTGGATGACATCAGAAACCAAATTTTTCAAAGCGGAATATCAATATAAGGTTAATATATTTAACGTAGAATGTTGCTGTTTGGGTGGGTTTCAACATTTTTAGCTAATCGACGAGAATCAAGCATCAAAGCAAGATTCTGTTACTAGCACAACCGGCTCATTTAGACTATTCACGACATTTTAAACGTGTTCTACGAATTGTTTCGTGAAGAAAACACGTGCTAAAGTGTTTAATTTCTCACACTCTCAATTGGTCCATTCCAAGAGGGAGGAGAGGATTGTCCCACACATGATGACACTAGAGTCCCTTTATAGAGAGAGTTAAGACAACGCGGCTCATAGATGTCACAGACGGGAATAAAGATTACCCAAATTGGAAGTTTTTCGTAATCTTTGATCAACCCATTCCCGGTCTGTCTCGGTCCATTCCAGTTTATAATATTTGCAATTTACCACTAGATAAGGTACGAATTTCAGCATTCTGATGCATATTTCTTAACCGAAATTTCACGTATAACATGATGCACATAACGAAAATTACCGAAATTAACCCTTTACGAAGATATTAAATAATTCTTGATGCGTGAATTCAAACCGCACCCGCTCGTGAAAACTCAATGCTCTACGTGATTCAAATCGCGCGCTAAACGTTATCATGACAGTCTCTGTGATAGAAAAATCTGACTACCTCGATCTTGATCCTTTGGCTCAGCTATAGCAAATTTCTTATAGTTTGAACAACTTATGGTGGGAATGAACATTGCCCGATTGAAGGAGCTTGCTGAAACCGTTGTAGTGCGCGATTTGACTCACGTAGAGCTTTGAGTTTCTTGTGAGCGGGCAGTTCAAATTCCTCGTGACCAATGTGAAATAAAAACGTTAATATCTTCGTTTGGAGTTTGTTTCATTAGTTTTCGTTGCGCGAATCGTGCTCTACGTGAAATTCTAATTAACAAACATGTATCAGAATGCTTAAATTCGTACCTTGTCTAGTGGTCCATTGATGAAAATGTAATCTTTATTCCCGTTTGTGACACTGTGAAGGCCTAAAATACGGGAACCAATCAGAAATGGATTCACATTGTCTTTCCTCTCAGTTTAAAGGGACTCTAGATGACACTCGTTAAGCACTCTACTCGACAAATTGTAAGTTTTTCAAGCTGAGTCTGGCAGAAGGGGCCGTGGTGTTACGAGAGCGAGCTCATGACGTCGCTTCTCTAATGTAAGGGCGCACTTCGATTTCCACGTGATCCCTGCTCTCCGTATAACTCTATGGTTTCCGTGGCTCTTGCGGAAATCGAGATACGGCCTTACGTCCGAGGAGCGACGATGATTACCGAGAGGGGTATTATCAACGGGTATGACGCAGGGGTTAAAAAAGAGAGTCTAAGGATAGCTCAATGCAGGATAGCGTCGAGTCTAAAGACCTGTGTTCTATTTTTGCGGCTGCAGCATGTATCAATCACACTTGACTACTCCAGGGAAAAGCGCCCTTCAACC